TATTTAATAATGAAACAAGTCAGACATCATGAGTATGATACTGAGATAGGTGTGGTGGTGCACACCTTTAACCCCAGCATTCAGGAGGCAGAGACAGATGATCTCTGGTCAAAGGCCAACCTGGTCCACATGGTGAGCTCCAGGTCAGTCAGAGCTATGTAGTAAGACCTGCCTCAAAAAGAAACAAAAGAAAAAAAAAAAAGATAGTGAGTGCCCAGGATGGAGTCAGCAATCCTGAACCTTTGGGTAAGCTGAAATCGAATCTTCCTGCATCTTCAGGTAGGCAGAGCAGAGCAGGAAAAGACCTCTTCATGTTGGGGAGTTAGCTTTTCAAACACTTTCACCCCCAGCTGTAGACAATCCTTGGTTGTGTACCTTAGGCTAGTGGCATAGTTGTCAAACTTGTAAGGGCTGGCATACTTCCCTGGTACTACTAAAGCACTGCGATTTCTGAACGCTGGGGAAGATGGTTCAGAGAACGGTTCTGGCAGAGAGCCCAGTGAGGAATCATCACTGGCAGACAGTGTACATATACTAGGTCTAACAGTTCTCTGGAGGCCAAGTGTTATGACTGTGCAAATCATAACACTGAGCCTGTGGGTACCCTGTCAGGTTCCTGGGGGATATACTCATCTAGACACTGTGACCCTTGCTACAGTAAAGCTTAAAGCTTGGTTGAACTCGAACCACATATTCCTAGTTGGAATAAGATAAATTTATCACCATGAGGAAGACACAAAGAATGATTTGGGTTTTGTTTATTTTTTTTTCTTTTGAAAGACTTCACGGTTTGGCAGTTAGTTGCTTCTCAAACTTTCATGAACTGGCCCTGGAGTTCCAAGTTTTGATTGAAGGCTTATTTATGTATCTCTAGATACCCCCTCTTTTAAAAAAATTTTTTTAAAAGAGCCTTTATTCTTTTTCTTTAATTTTATTTATTATGTCTACAGGGTTCACACCTACATGCCAGAAGAAGGCACCAGATCTCACTGTAGATGGTTATAAGCCACCATTACTGGGAATTGAACTCAGGACCTCTGGAAGAGCAGCCAATGTTCTTTTTTTTTTTTTTTTTTTTTTTTTTCGAGATAGGGTTTCTCCGTAGCTTTTGGTTCCTGTCCTGGAACTAGCTCTTATAGACCAGGCTGGCCTCAAACTCACAGAGATCCGCCTGCCTCTGCCTCCTGAGTGCTGGGATTAAAGGCATGCACCACCACCGCGCCGGCACAGCCAATGTTCTTAACCTCTGAGCCATCTCTGCAGCCCTAGATACCCTTTTATAAGCACTGCTTGAGCAGCTTTCCCTCTGCCTTATTAGCAAAAATATGACGTAGCATACACCCAGAGGCAAGTAAGGATGGACATTGTGGATATCGCTTGCCTTAGACCCTAGAACCCTATGGCAGTTAGGGTTTGGAGGTTAAAGTTACAGTGAAAAACAGGACTCCTAAACCTCAACCATACTTCCCCAGACTGCTGTCTGTATTACTTCAATATTTGAGTGTTCATTTGTTTGTCAAGACAGGGTTTTTCTGTGTAGCCCTGGCTGTTCTGGAACTCACTCTGTAGACCAGGCTGGCCTCAAACTCACAGAGATCCAGCTGCTTCTGCCTCCTGAGTGCTGGGATAAAAGGTGTGCGTCACCATCTCCCAGCTTATTTCAATAATGTTGAATTACAATATTAAAGTGTTCCTCATTTTCCTGGCATTGTTTTGGCTGTAGCCTGAGGAAGGCTCATAAGCTTGGAAGATATACAGAGGATATGAAAGAAGCAATCCTTCAAAGCAGCCACATCAGGAGGGAAACGTAGGAAAAGTGGGGTTGCTGAAGAATGGGGGTACACATTTTCAAGTTCTCCATTTATGACCGGCAACTGCTTTTCCTAGGAAGCAACAAGGCCCTTGTGGTTTACCTATTAGGAGCATACTGTCACTGTACTGAACTACAAAAGCCTAACTGTGATCTGGGTGGTTTACTTGTTAGGAGCATACTGTCACTGTACTGAACTACAGAAGCCTGTGATCTGGCAGTATCCAAAGGGGTCATTCTTGGGAGCCCTCAGCAACCCTTACCTTCCAAAGGCAGGCAGCTTTTTTCTTAGGGAAATAGAACTGGTGAGGTCTGGGATAGGTCTTTGGACCTTGGGAAAGGTCTTGGAGGGCATGGCTACTTTGAAGTACTTGGCCAATGTTTTATACGGTATATCTTCATCTTCATAGTAATCATGTTCCATTGCATGTTACACAGTTGTGACTGAATTGCCTAGATAAGGAAAATAGCTTCACACGACAGGAAGTTCTGATTTGGTTAAGCCACTATGCAACACCAAAGAACTGGGTTGCTTTTTATTTATTAATTTTTTTTCTCTGCTAGCCTTTGTAGTGTTGGTTCATGAAATGCTCTCAGGGTGGCCACTGTAATTCCAGGAAGGAAATGATGACAAAACAATTTCTTGTAGAAGTCAGAGAACTTGTTTGCCTACCCTCTCAAGTGTTTCATTCTAAAACAAGGAAATCTCCCCCTGGATGCCCTAGCAGTTCAGGCTTTATGTCTCATCGGCTTATTTTCCCATGCTACTGGCAAAGCCAAAATGACCTCTTATATGACTTAGATGGGAGTTACCCTTTAAATCATAAGGATTAGGAAGGTTAGTTATGTCTAACAAGAAAGAAGCAGGTGGGCTGGAGAGATGGCTCAGAGGTTAAAGGTACTGGCTGCTCTTCCAGAGGACCTGAGTTCAATTCCCAGCAACCACATGGTGACATGTAAGTATCTATAATGAGATCTGGTGCCCTCTTCTGGCATGCAGGCATACACGCAGGCAGAATACTGTATAGTTAATGAACAAATAAATCTTTTTAGAAAGAAAGAACGAAAGAACAAAGAGTGGATATCCAGGCTTATGGTGAGAAGCAGAGAGCCTCTGGTCTTGGCTCTTTGGATCCTAAAGCCCGTGTTTTATATCGTGTTCGCTGCAAGTGCCAAGTCATTATTGCAGAAACCACTGGTAGAGACTATCGTTTTCTAGATTGTGTCTTAGCTAACACAGGAAGTGGAGGACAGATGCACTATGGGTAGTAGAGTAGTAGTCGCAATGGGAAGAAAGTGGGCACTCTTCCTCATCTCACTTGTGAGCTCCGAGGTCTTCCTGCTTATTAAGGCAGGAAGTTGGGCACTCTATCCTTTGAGTGCCCTGAGTATTTGGTCCTTCACTGTGCTTTGCTCTGGTGTTGATCGTGTATCCATGTACTTACTTGCTATCCTGATATCTTTGTTAAATTCTTCTTCTATTTTACTCATTTTAAATTTGGATTGTCTCACTGAGCTATAAAAACTTTAAAAATTCACCGGGTGGTGGTGGTGCATGCCTTTAATTCCAGCACTCGGGAGGCAGAGATCGGAGGATTTCTATGAGTTCGAGGCCAGTCTACAGAATGAGTTCCAGAAGAGGCTCCAAAGCTACAGAGAAACCCTGTCGTGGGGGTAGGGGGGTGGTATAAAATTCAAGTTCTTTGTTGGAAATATGTGTATTATATATATCATATATATGCATAATATATATGTATATCACATTTGTGCATAATATATGTGTGTATATATTATGCATGTATGTATATTGCGTATATTAATTTTTCCTAATCCATGGCTTGCCTTTTCATTTTGAATAGGAAAAAGTTTCCCATTTTCATGTCCAATTTATTAGTTCATGCTTTTTGAATGGCATTTAAAGAAATTTTTCATTTCCTGGTGGCCGCTGAGGTGCTCAGTGCTCAGGGAGCACTGACTTCTCTACATCTGAGATTTTGTATTTTATAGTTCTTCCTTCTGAGAACAATCAGTGCCCTGTCCTTGAAGCCCATCCATCCATCTGTCCATCCATCCATCCAAATAGTTATTTAATGTGCTCCTTTTTTTTTTAACTTAATGTGTTCTTATAGGGCAGCAATAAGCATTGTTCTCGGCACTGAAGCTGAGGCAGTTAACAAGATACACAAAACCTTGTGTCCTGTGGAAGTGTGTTACCTCAGAACAGTGTTTGGTCAAGGAGAAAGCCTCACATACCTTTGCCTTGGCAAGAATCTCCAAGACCTTCTTGCCTCCCTGCTTTAAATTTTAATTCATGAGACTTTCACACGGGCTTACTCTACAAAGGTGTGGTTCTGCATAACAGAAGTAGATAGGAACATATCATAGACACTTGTTGGATTTTACTGAATTTACGGGCCTAAATCTTGTTACAGTGTTCAAAGAGATGGTACCTTGGGGCTAGAGCAATAGATCGGTGGCTAAAGGCACTGTCTGCTCTTCCTGAAGACCTAAGTTCCATTACCATCACCCACACAGCTGTTGACAACTGTCTTAACTCTGATCCCAAAGATCTGACACTCTCTTCTGGCCTCCATGAGCATCAGACACCCATGTGCACAGAGTTATGTGCAGACCAAACACTCATACACATTGAAAATAAAACAAACAAACCCACTCAGTCTGTGACTATGCCGTGTTTTCTGGAAGAAGCTAGATAAGCTGGCATTCATTTGAGGGACTAGTTCCAGAATCAAGAGGTGAGGGTATGATAGGCCCTTGCATGGGTTTGGGATTTACTCTTCAGGCTTAGATCATGACACCCCCCCCAAAAAAAAACCCAGTTTCTCTGTAGTTCTTGAGCCTGTCCTGGAACTCATTCTGTGAACCAGGCTGACCACAAACTCACAGAGATCCACCTGCCTCTGCCTCCCAAGTGCTGGATTAAAGGCGTGCGCCACCACTGCCTGGCCTCTGGATTTTTACCTTTTAAGATGTGGTGCTGCATCTGGTTATTTGATATTTTAAAATTCGGAAGGGTGTTTCAGTCAACAGGAAGAAGAAAGCAAGGCAGAATTGCTGTATCAGATGGGCTTGGAGCCCCCTCCATTTATTATACAGTAAGCACATCCATTAAGTGCTTCAAAACTGTAACCATAGCAAAGATTTTTGTTACTAACATTTGGGAGGTTTCTTCTGTGCTGTCTGTGCATTGTACATGTTGGTCTTTCAATTCTTCTGATGAGAAAACTGAAGTTCAAAGAGATAAAGTGACTAAATCCAAAGTTAGTGGGGAGGGAAAGGATAATGAAAATAAAATATGTATATAAATATGTATATACACACATGTATTTAAAGTCAAAACATTACTGATTCATTGGGACACAGGGATTATAATGAATCCTTGCTAAACCCGCATAAAATAGTATCTGGAGTCACTGAGCCAAGTATTTTTTTAAGGATGCACTGCTTGCGTGATAAAGTGCTGGATCTAGTCTCTTGGTTAGATTCATTCTAATGGGTTGGAGGCAGTTCATGAAGTAGTCCACAACCTAGACATCGGGAGAAAGGTTTCCTAGGGAAGGCTAGCAGAGTCACCCACCATAGACCGGTGGTTCCAGGAAAGGCCTCTGGAGATGACTTATGTCAAAGTTTGGGATGGGATGGGAAGGGGAGAATTCCTAGCCATGGGATCCCAAAGGCTCCAATTCAGCAGAAAAGCACCCGACCAGTTCGGGGAAACTGGAAGCGGACCAGTTTAGTCGTAAAACAGTCTTGAGGAGTTCGGAGGGAAAAGACCAGGGCTCCTTAGCTAGGTGTTTTAGTGCCAGGAAGGAGTTTGGGTTCCTCAAAGGGATTCGGAGAGTGTTTAAACACTGAAATAATTCCTTCTAGTACTCAGGTAATGTCCCGTTTCTTAATCATTTATTTTAAAACTATATTGGACTTTATTTTTAATCCATCTCAATAAAAGGTTGTAAAAAGCAACTCTGCGTACTTAGCGAATCTCCTGTGGTGGTTACCGCCCAGTGCCTGTGCTCCAAGCGGGCGTGGCAGGCGGAGCTAGGAGGCAGAGGATGTCCTCGGATGGTCACCCGCCACTCTCAGGTAGGCTGTCCCTCAGGTGAACTCCTCAGGCTGGCAGCGACGTCGCCTCAGACAGCGGTCCCGGCTGGTCCCCGACCGGAGACTGTCACGGGGAAGAGGCCGGCCGCTCGCTCGGGATTGTCGCCGTCAGGCACAGCGGGAGCAGGGCGGCCGCGCGCTCACGGCTCCGCCCCGGCCGGCCGGGCGCCCGCTCGCCCGCCCACAGCTCCCCAGAGTCCTCGGCGCACTGGCCGAGCTGGCGCGGACGTCGTCGTGCCCGCGCGGATCCGGCTCGGGGCGAGCTGCGGACCCTGCGAGCGGGGCGCGATCGGGGGGAGCGGAACTGACGCGGGCGTGCTTCCGGGGGCGACCGGGGAGAGCGAGCGGCGGCGGCGACGGCGGCGGGTCGGGGAGCGAGCGGTGCACGCGTCAGCAGCTGCGGGCGACGCAAGTTCCGGACCGGGTTCAGCGTCCTCGCCTCACGCCCCTCTCTGTCCTCGCCTGACAGCGGCTCCTCTGCCCCGCCCGAGCTTTCGGAGGGCGTCCCTTCGTCGCCTCAGCGGCGGCACCGTTCTCTCGTGAAGCACTCCCCCCAGCTCCATGAATGGAAATCGGCTCCGCAGGTGAGTCGGGGCCGCCGGACGGGGCGGGCGAGGTCGTTACCCCACGGGTGTCCCCTGAGCATCCTCGCTCCTTCCACTTCGGGTGCTGTCAGCGTGCGTCGTGAAAGGAAAGGAGTAGCTGGTTTTCGGGCCCAACGCGGGTGGCTTCTCCACAGCCCCGCAGCTACTCTCCGGGGACCACTGAGTTGGCAAAACTACCCGGAGGGTTGAAGTTTGGGTTTATCCCGGCGATGTCATCCCTTGGAGTGCTGCTCCCCTGAGGATATGGAGGAGTTTGCCCTTGCTTTTGTAATTCCAGCTGGAAATGTTCAAGACCGCGCGTATCCTTTAACCGGGTCGCGTGTCCCATGCAGGCTGGACAGTCAGTCACCACCCTTTCTCCCCTCTTAGAGTAGCGTGAGGATACTCTGAGATAACCGATGGGATTGAGTTTGAAATTGGTGTCCGGGCAACGTCCGATGCAAGATGATGGCATTGCTTGCATCCGAGATTCGCAGCGGCTGTGGCAGTGTGGCATGTAGTCTCCGAGGCGCTAAGAGATGCTCTCTCAGTCTGCATCCCTGCTTGTGTGAGAAGGTAGATCTTCAGAATGCGGCCGCTGTTTCCCTACAGCAGCACTTGGCATATACCTGGAAATCCGGATTTAGAAAACAGTTTTGCCTTTTGAGAGAGAGAGAGAAAAAAATGGCAGCCTGCGCAGGACTTGTCTTTAAAAAGGAAAAAGAAGTCTTCGCTTTTAAAGTAACTGAGAGAGAGAGAGACATGAAATAGGTGTTACATAACGGTTTGCTTACCAAGTGATCGCCCTTGTTCCCTAAATTTGAAAGTTCTCTTCATCCACAAGATCAGTAATGTACAGTTTCCATAATAATTGGGGGACTGTCTTATTATTATGGTATAACAAGTCCCATAATTTTTTTATCTTCCTTTGCCAATTTGAAAGGTCCCCAAATATAAGAAAACCTAATATGAAAGAAACTAGTGACATGATTGTCAAGTGGATACAAACAGGCATTTCCTTTATCACACGGAATTTCTTCACAGTGTCTCTACCGTTTTTTCCTTCTATGTTCTATCTTCCTTCATATTTTCTAAAATGCAAAATCTGTCTAGACTGAAGTTTTAGACTCTTATTACCAATTTGTGTATTTCCAGCCTGTCTTTTCCTTGTTCTTAAACTTTACGTTTTATCTGTACTGTTCTTACTTTATAAGATAACTGATTATTTCCAGTGATCTGATTTTTATATAGCTACCTTGTCGTCAAGCCTGAAAAACTAAGCATGAAAGCAAATACTTGGTTAGTCATCTGTCTAAAACTTTTGAAGGTATTTCCCTCAAATTAAGTATTTTCACATGAAAATATTGACAACATTCTAGAAAGTACTTGTGATATCAGACCACCTAGTCAGCTGATACACTTAGGGAAAATGAATTTTACCTTTTCTTTTTGGGTATTCTTCTGATAAAATATAGAGTAATTGATGTGTCTTCACATCAGGTATAGTTAAGATTTACCAACTAGCTTGGGCATGGTGGCTCACACCTTTGGTCCCAGCACTTAGGAGGCAGAGATGGTTCAATCTCTGTGAGTTGGAGGTTGGCCTGGTCTACAAAGAGAGCTCCAGGACAGCCAAGGGGGGCTACATAGTGAGACTCTGTCTCAACAAACAAACTAAAATTAAAACAAAAAGTTTTGTCAATCCGGCTTGGTCATCGTGGAACACAGAGTTTATTCTTCAATAAAGTTTATCTGTGATTGGCTGTTGTCTAGTATCAGGATCAAGAATGTTAACATCAGAAATGATTTTTTGGGCCAGGCATTGTGGCACACACCTATAACCCTAATACTTGGTAGGCAGAGGCAGGTGGATCTCTATGAGTTCAAGGCTAGCCAGGACTACATAGTGAGACCCTGTTTTAGAGAGAGAGAGAGAAAGAAAGAGAGAGATATTTTATTGTTGTTCTTGCATCGTTTGTGTAATTGTTAACGGTGAATGTGAAATTGGAAATATACTTAGGAAAATTGACAACTAGATTTTTTTATTCAAAATTTGACAAATACATATTTTGGTTTAACATTTCTTAGATATATGGATTGGAGAGTTGGCTCAGCAATTAAGAGCACTGCCTGCTCTTGCAGAGGACCCAGGTTTGATTCCTAGCAACATGCGGTGGCTTAAAATTGTAACACGAGTCTCAGGGGATCTGGTACCCTCTTATGACATCTAACGGCATCAGGCAAGCATATGATGCACATACATACATGCAGACAAAACACTCATGCGCATTAAACAATAAAATAAATCTTAAATTAAAAATGTTGAGATATATGCCAGGCAGTGATGGCACACACCTTTAATCCCAGCACTCGGGAGGCAGAGGCAGGAGGATCTCTGTGAATTGGAGGCCAGCCTGGTCTACAGAGCAAGTTCCAGGACATCTAGAGCTGTTACACAAAGAACCCTTGTTTTGAACCTGCCCCCAAAAAACTAGATATAGATGTTCTTTAATAGCCCGTTAGGTTAGTACTGAAATTTTTGGTTCTCAACTTCTGTTTTTCTTTTGAATGGATCTTCTCAGGAATCACTTGCTGATAGATTGTTTATTATGTGAATACATAGAAATCTTAAATTTATGTAGTGCAATGGAGGACGTTAAATATAAATATCATGTAATGATTTCATGATGGAGCATTCCTCACTAAAAATATTTATCCTTCCTTTCCTGTTCACATGAAATATTACAAGGGTTTTATTTTATTTTTGAGACTAGGCCTCATTGCATAGATTAAAGATGTGTATGACTGTGCCTAGCTTTGTAAGGGATTTTTTGATTTTTCATATACAGCCCACCAATTTAGTACCATGTGTCTTAGGATTTCTGTTGCTGTGAAGAGACACCATGACCATGGCAATTCTTATAAAGGAAAACATTTAATTGTGCAGGCTTACAGTTTCAGAGGTTTAGTCCATTATCATCATGGCAGGAAACATGGTGGCACACAGTCAGACATGGTGCTGGAGAGGGAACTGAGGTTCTACATCTTGATCAGCAGGCAGCAGGAAGAGAACTGAGACACTAGGCTTCGCTTGAGCATCTGAGGCCTCAGAATCTGCCCACAGTGACACACTTCCTCCAACAAGGCCACACCTACCAATAATGCCAGTCCCTATGAGCCTATAGGGCCATTTTTATTCACACTACCGTCCGAACATTGATTTAATCAAAAATAGAGTAATTATTTTTTTAAAAATATTTATTTATTATGTATATAATATTCTGTCTGTGTGTATGCCTTCAGGCCAGAAGAGGGCACCAGACCCCATTACAGATGGTTTTGAGCCACCATGTGGTCGCTGGGAATTGAACTCAGGACCTTTGGAAGAGCAGGCAATGCTCTTAACCTCTGAGCCATCTCTCCAGCCCCTAGAGTAATTATTTTTTGTGTAATAATTTACATGCATATCTATGATTCCTTAAGGGTACTTCTGATGGAACTATGTTTCTGGTCTAATTACAGTTGAGCTGTATTTCTGGTCTACAACTGTACTTTGTGTCCAAATAAAATGAGATAGGAAAACCAGGAAATGGTTATTTAAATGCTACTTATATTTTGAAGTCTAGTACATTAGTTTATATTTTTAGGTAAAGTCCAGCTGTTGTTCAGAAATGAATTATACTTAAATGTAAATATTCTCCAGTAATCTGTGGGAAGCCTGGGGGTTTCAGTTATAGATTGCTTGCGAGCACACTCAGAATTCCATTCCCAGCATCGGAGGGGTGCTGTGGGTGCTGTCACTTATATTTTAAATAAACGCTGATTGGCCAGTAGCTGGGCCACCAGGCAGGAAGTAGAGGCAGGGCAAGGAGAACAGGAGGATCCTGGGAAGAGGAAATCTCAGTCTGCAGTTGTCATCCAGACACAGAGGAAGCAAGATGTAACTGCCTCGCCAAAAAAAGGTACCAAGCCATGTGGCTAACACAGACAAGAATTATGGGCTAATATAAATTATAAGAGTTAATAGGAAGCCTGAGATACTAGGCCAATCCGTTTATAATTAATGTAGACCTCTGTGTGATTTCTTTGGGACTGAATGACTGCGGAAACTAGGCAGGACAGAAACAGTCAACAGAGGGGAAGATGTCTAAGGAGGAAAATCGTTTATTTTTATCATAAGTTACTAATATGTAAGCCAATTTGTCATAGCTGAGAGTTTTATACAATCTTGCAGAAAAGGGAAATCTTAGCTAAACTTTTTTTTTATTTATTTTTACCTTATGAGTGTTTGACTGCATCTATATATTGTGTATACCACATGTGTGCCTGGTGCTCACAGAGCCAGAAGAGGGAACTGGGTCCCCTGGAACTGGAGTTATAAAGTTTAGTGAACAGCCATTTGTGGGTGCTGGGAACTGAACCTGGGTCCTCTGCAAAAACAGGAAGTTCTCTAACTGCTGAGCCATCTCTCCAGTCTCCTTAAGTTAAACTTTTAATTCCTCTCTGAACATAGTTGTCCTGGAACCCTGTATTTCTTTATTAATAAAAAGGCTTTTTTTTTTTTTTTTGAGTCAGTTAGAAGCCAGCAAGATGACTGGCTCAGTGGGTAAAGGAAAAAGAACTTGCCACCAAGGTCAACTGAGGTCTCTCACATGGTGGAAGGAGAAAACTGACTCCTAAAGTTGTTCCACCAATACAGACATACGTAGATACAGACATGGGGGTGCACGTGTACAAAAACACTTAAATAAAGTGCAGGAAAAGCAAAGCTCATTTGAGACTACATTTCAGAAGAACAAAAGCTGGATGCAAAGGAAGCTAGAACTAGATCAAGAATGAGACATGGAGTCGGTCATACTGGAATGGCCTACTCCTGCCTTCTCAGCACTCCGGAAGGCTGAGGGGAGAGCTGAGATTCGGAAGCCAGCCCGGGCTACATAGAGAGACCCTGCCTCAAAATAAGAGGGAGGATTGAAAGAGGAGGTTGAAAGTGGTGGATTCACAATCACTAATATACACAGTGCCATTTTGGAAGTGTTTATTGTCATATAAAATTTTATACTTATGATTTGTTTTGAGGGGGAAAATGTCATATTGCACCTTTGTGTGTTGGTTGGGAATTTGGAAATACTAAGGGTTTTTTACTACTGTATTATCTCTGAAAATTTTGTTCGTGCTCTCCTGAAATGACTGTTACAACATTTTAGCATTTGCTATTTAAGACTGACAGCTTGAGGGCTGGAGAGATGGCTCAGAGGTTAAGAGCACTGACTGTTCTTCCAAAGGTCCTGAGTTCAATTCCTAGCAACCATATGGTGGCTCACAACCATCTGTAATGGGGTCTGGTGCCCTCTTCTGGCCTGCAGACATACATGGAAGGAATGCTGTATACATAATAAATAAATAAATATTTAAAAAAAAAAAGACTGACAGCTTGAATTACAAAAAACATGCAAGGTTATTTTGATTATTGTTTCAGAATTTAATTTTTCTATTAATAATAGGGTACCCTGAGAGAATATTAGGAGACAAGAAGCATCATTTTTTTCTTTTAAAGAAATTATAAGTTTATAATGTGGAAAATAGTTTATTACATTTTAACCCATTTCATATATGCATATAATGTACTTTGATTATAGCCACCCTTTTTCCTCTTAAAGAATTTAGGGCCTTAGGGCCCGCCAGGCGGTGGTGGCGCACGCAGAGACAGGCGGATCTCTGTGAGTTCGAGACCAGCCTGGTCTACAAGAGCTAGTTCCAGGAGAGTCTCCAAAACCACAGAGAAACCCTGTCTCGAAAAACCAAAAAAAAAAAAAGAACCCCCCCCCAAAAAGAATTTAGGGCCCACTATGGTGACAAACCACTTTAGCCCTGCACTGGGAAGGTGGAGGCAGACTCTCTAAGTTTATGATAGGCTAGTCTGCATAATGAGCTTCCGGTCAGCCAGGAGTATATAATGAGATCCTGTCTCAAAAACTGAAGACTTTAAAGAACTGGTCAAAACAAAACAAATTTAACCTTAAAATGTAGGGTTTTTTGGGGGGAGGGAGGGAGGAGTGTTTCAAGACAGGGATTTTCTGTAGCTTTGAAGCCTGTCCTGGAACTAGCTCTTGTAGACCAGGCTGGCCTCGAACTCAGAGAGTAAAATGTAGTTTTATAAACATAATGAAGATATTTAAAAACAACCATGAGCCTATCACTATGATACAACCAATACTTACTTTTAAAATTCAAGCTAGAAACTAATCAACTATCTGTTGTGAAAACCAGCTAAAATAAATAAAAAGATAAATAGATACTGTTTCCTTTTATTCTTTGGGCAAATTTTGCCTAATAAGTTGGTATTAATATGTATTAGCTGTGTTTCTCATTGGGAACAGTGCATTTGTTTGGTTTTGTAGGCCTGGCCTGACAGTATGCAAAGAGGCCTGGGAATGGCTCCTGGAAGAGTTCCCTCGTGTATATGGAAAAACCCTAGCTCGGAGGAAATTCTTTCCAAATTGTCTTTAGCTCTTGGATTCTAGTTGAAAATTATTTTACTTTATAATATAGATATCTGGTTTCATTTGGTTTCTAAATTCTTAAAATCCTTACTCTACCTGAAAGACTGAAGTCAGTGTTTTTGATAATCTAACAAAACATTCTTTTACAGCTCTTAAACCTTAGAAGGTAATTTGTTTTAAATAGTTAATATATAAGAGAAAAAAGCCAAAGTGATAGTTCTGTTTTCAGGAAAGTAAAACTAAAAAGATAATTTATTTGCAACTGACTCCTTTTCTGGACCTGTTTGGTCTGAGAGTGTTAGGATGGACAGCATTTACCAGACACTCCTACTTTCTAATTCAGATGCTCATAGACCCTCATTCTTGACTTATTAACAGAACAGATGTGAGAAAGAATATTGTGTGTGTTCTAGCCATAATGATAATGCTGTTAGGATACATGAACAGCCTTTCTGTACTTGGAGTTTCTACGGTTTTCTGCATTGTCTATGTTAATATTAATGACTTTCTTTGGCTAGCCAATGCTTTTAAAAAAAGACTATTGAGATTCACACAATTAATGCTTTCTTTTTTATAAATGTGGAGTTTTGTAGTTTGCTTAACAAACAGTAAAATGAATGAAAAGATAAATAAGTACTGCTTCCTTTTATTCCTTGAGCAGAGTTTGCTTAATAAGTTGGTATTGACATGTATTAGTTTATTTTTATAGATGTCAGTTTATAATTATGTTGATTTTGTGATTTGGTTCACAGCTTTGACTGGAATATCAGTTTAATAAAGTAATCTGAAAGTTTTAATTTTATATCAGACACTTATTTTATTCACTTCATAATTGTCAAATTCTTGGGAAATCAGAAGGTGTTTATAGACTATAAACATGAATAAATGAGACATTTTTAGATTTTTTTCATTTTTAGAAGAAAATTTGCAATAAAAATTTCACATTGCCGGGTGATGGTGGCACACGCCTTTAATCCCAGCACTCGGGAGGCAGAGGTAGGCGGATCTCTGTGAGTTCGAGACCAGCCTGGTCTACAGAGCTAGTTTCAGGACAGGCTCCAAAACCACAGAGAAACCCTGTCTCGAAAAACCAAAAAAAAAAAAAAAAAAATTCACATTAAATGTATGTACTATTTTTAATTTTATTTTTGTTTAAATACTATTTTTGATGCTCTATTCTATTTGATTTCTAAATCTCCTAACAGCATAAGTTATGCGTGTTTATTTGTATTTTCAAAATAGTTAATGGATAGATTGCAAAATGGGCTACTTAATGTTAGCTCTTATTGTCTTTTTTGTTTGTTTGTTTGTTTGTTTGTTTGTTTTTCGAGACAGGGTTTTTCTGTAGCTTTGGAGCCTGTCCTGGAACTTGCTCTTGTAGATCAGGCTGGTCTCGAACTCACAGAGACTCTGCCTGTCTCTGCCTCCCGATTGCTCTTATTTTCAAGGGAGAAAATTCCGTAAAATATTCTTCCCTCTATTAACATCTGAGGCAGTTAACCCTTAACAGGTTTAATATTGTACAAGAGATTATTTAGGCGTAGGCAGTATGACTGTAACTGCTGTCTGTTTGGATGAGTTTATGAATAATTGAGTGGAATTTGGAATAGCAGCTCTGAGCGTACTAGAAGTTCCATGCTCGTGTGTCCTGGTTAGTCGTGAGCCCAAAGGTATAAAATCACACGCATCTCATCACGTTGAACTTGGAGATGAACTTAGTACACTTACTTTTCCACTGAGCCATCATCTCCCTCGCCCCCATTTTACTTTTTATAATAAGTTTTGTTCTTCATTTTATTTTTCATTGGTTTTGCTGTTGGTCCCTTGTTGCCTGGGTCTGCTCTGAGCTAGCTGACTTGAGTTTGCACAGTGGTCCTTCTGTCTATCCCTCCCAGAGCCTAGCTACTTGTTTTTAATGAAGAGAATAAAATGAGAGGAAGAAATAGAAATTCTAAGGATAACGTCGTCTTTCGGAACTAAGTTTTACATCTACCAGCTGTACCTAGAGTTCTAACCTACTGTAGTTGACAAGAGTATATAAAAATGGCTTTTAACTGTGGGACACTTTTTTCCCCTTCCTACAGGACCCATTGGGGCCCAGCCCCTACTCATAGTGCCCAGAAGACCTGGATATGGCACTATGGGCAAACCCATTAAACTGCTGGCTAACTGTTTTCAAGTTGAAATCCCAAAGATTGATGTCTACCTCTATGAGGTAGATATTAAACCAGACAAGTGTCCTAGGAGAGTGAACAGGTAAGAATCATGAAGTCTAACTGCCATTTGCTGTTTGTATTTGCCTTAGTAAATTATATGTGTCTCTCTCTTACATGTTTGAATAAGTGATAAGACATAACACTTTGACATGGTATACACGGAATGTATATACATGACAGGAATACATGGTAATTTGTTTTGAATTTTTCACTTCAGCAGTGGATGATAAATTTGTAAACTTCCTTCAGATTATTTCATTATGTATGAGTTTCCATGCTATTCATGTGGTAATAGAAAAGGTCCAAGTCATATCCACATGTTGTTTGAAATCTGGTCAAATATTCTGAGCATGTCTTTTGTGTTTCTGTTTGTAGGCGGACTTTCCTGTCCCGCCAGCCACTTCCCAAATAACGACACAGATTTAATATTAATTATAAATGCTCGGCCGATAGCCTAAACTTGGTTTTAGCTAGCTCTTATAACTTAACCCATTTCTATTAATCTACCTGCTGCCCCAGGGCTCCTTTACTTCATGTAATATTTCCCATCCTGCTCGCTCCACATCTCATAGCATTTCCCCGGACTCCTCCTCATTCTTCTCAGTATTCTCTTAGTCTTACTCTCCCGCTTAACCTAATCCTGCCCAGCTGTGGGCCAGTCAGCTCTTTATGAGCCAATGGGAGTAACATCTTTACAGCGTACGGAGATTGCTCCGCAGCCGCTGTTAGTTAATTTATGTTTGTGGTTTTTTTCTCCACACTTCATCTTACCATTTTTGTAATGCTCGCTTTAAAACGATGGTGGCGGGAGTATACGCCCTCTCTCACATTTTTAAATTAAAAAATAATAAGTAAATGAAAAGTAAAAGGAATTTGTAATTTAATAGTATGACATGTAAGAAATATGAATGTTGGGCTGGAGAGATGGCTCAGTGGTTAAGAGCATTGCCTGCTCTTCCAAAGGTCCTGAGTTCAATTCCCGGCAACCACATGGTGGCTCACAACCATCTGTATGCCCTCTTCCGGCCTGCAGGCATACACACAGACAGAATATTGTATACATAATAAATAAATAAAATAAATATTTTAAAAAAAGAAATATGAATGTTGGATTAATTTTTCTTGGACTTACCGTTCTAACTACTAATATTTCTGTTATAACTGAAAGTGAATGAGCACTGAGTCATTATATGATGTTAAAACAGTAACTATATGTAATTATATGATGTTAATTATACGATGTTAAAACAGTAACTATATGAATGTCATGATTAATACATAATGTAATACAGAGTCCTTTTGAGGGCAACAAAAATTCTGGAATGAACTGTTAGAAATAATCTCTTAAGGTTATTTAAGAGTTCAGTTAATCCAATATAGATGAAATCCAGAAAGGTAAAATGACTTAAAAACACACTTTAACAGAAAAGGTAGAATCAGAGCTGCAGAAGCTTCACTTGGAAGAAAATGAATTTAGTTGGTCTAAAATAATTAGACCCTGTCTGCCCATCTATCCAAAGTGCATCTGTGTGTGTGTGTGTGTTTATGCCATAGCTGGGCTTGGTGGCACACACTTTTAATTCCAGCACTTAGGGGGCAGAGACACATGGACCTCTATGTGTTTGAGCCCAGCCTGGTCTACAGAGTGAGTTCCAGGACAGCTAGAGCTGTGTTGGGAGACCCTGTTTCAAATAACACAAAGCAACAACAGTGAAGCCATTATAAAGTGAAGAAGGTAGAGAAGAGCAAATGTCCTAGGGGTGTTGGTGAGTCGTCCTGGTCTTCTTGACTGGGTTTGGAATCACCGAGAAGATACTCCATCCACATTTATAAATGTGGAAAGTTTTAGAGAGGGTTAGCTGAGGGCAAAAGACCGACCCTGAATGTAGGTGGTACCATCCCAAGGACTATGGTTCCAAACTGAATGAAAGAGGAAAAAGGAGGAGGCCGGCTGAGTAGTAACATTCATTTCTTGACTTTCCTGAATGGACATAGTGTGGTCAAACGCTTCCTGTTCTTGCTGCTAAGACTTGTGTGCTGTGGTGGATTGCACCTCTCAAAAACCCTTCTTAAATAGTTTTTCAGATATTTGTCACGACTGCAAGAAAAATAATGCAGAAAACTAGTACTCATGGATTTGTTGCTGTGATAAACGTCATTGTGGGGAGGGGAGGGGAGAGTAAAAGTGCGTACCACCAAACCTGATTGCTGATGACCCATTGTCAAAGAAAGTAAGGTCAGTAAAGAGAAATCTCAGAGCAAGGTGACGGTGACACACGCCTTTAATCCAACATTTGGGAGGTAGAGTCAGGGAGCTCCCAGTTCGAGACTAGCCTGGTCTGCAAAGTGAGTTTGAGTTCCAGGACAGCCAGGGCTACTCAGAGAAACCCTGTTTCAAAACACACACACGCATACACACACACAGACAGAGAGAGACTTTATCTCTAAATAAATAAATCTCTCATCTTGTACTGGGATAAGAAGAAGGTGCCAGGAGTTCAGAAACTCACCATCAAAGAGTCCATCTTGTGAACATGCAGCTCCTTTGAAAGGAGAGAGCCTTAACTGAGGATGCGTGGAGAATGCTGCTGCAGGGATTCCCTTGAAGACAACCGCCCACCTTCTCCATCCCACCCCGCCCATCCCCTCCTGGGGTGGGTGAGAGAACTGGCCCTGAAGTCACAAGAGCAGGAAAGCTGTTCCTGTGCCTCACCAGCTACAAGACTCAGGAGAGCGGGCCCTGGGTAATAGAGCCAGCCTTGTTGGCTTGTCTGTCATGTGGCGGTGTGGGTCAGGAAGAGATGCCCCCTTTACTCGTTGCCCCTTACCACCTGCAACAGAGAGCTGACCTTTACCAGCTGCAATACTCTGGAAAGCAGGCCTGGCTCCTAGCATAGGCAATATAGTAGAGGTGGCTCTGTTGTCAGAGGTGTGGGTGACCCAGCCCTGATGTAGGGGGTCCGTTCCCATTACTCATCTGATATGTGGCATGGGTGGAGGAGAGATGTCCTTCCCTCACTTCCCTCCTCACCCATCAATGGCTGGTACAGGTCACGGGAGAGGGAGGGCTGTCCCTGCCCCTCACCAACTGTAGTGCCTTGGAGAATGGTCCCTGTACCATGCCTGGGCAACACAGTGGAGCTGGCCCTTGTGGTGTAGGTGTGGGAAAGCCAGCCCTAGGGTGTGAAGGCAGGAGAACTGACCCTGACCCTCGCTCATTGCTACAAGGGGTGAATTAGCTCTAGCAGTGCTCACCCTAGTGATGGGGACAGGGGAGAAGTGGGCCGTGGACCAATCCTGCAGCTGCCCAGGCCTAAAACCAGGGTTATGACTTGGCTCGCATCAACAAATCCCCCCATCTCTGATCTGCTGGAGCGTGTGAAGGGACCTGACCCACAGACCCAAAGCTGCAGGATCTCCACACACAGGCAACTACAGGATATTCAAGAAAAGTCCCATCGATAGTGTAGAAACCAGAGGCCTAGATTCTACCAAATCAATGACTCTTTGCAATGAACACTTGTGAGTAAAGATACATGGACAAAAGGCTTTACTGTGTGACTCACTGTGTCATTCTGCAGCTTCCATGATGAGATTTTTAATTTCTTCCCTTTTTTTTCTCTTAAATAATGTTTTATTGGGGAAGGTGTTTATAGGGCCAGAGGGCAGATGTAAAGGGACAGGGAAATGAATGGGATCAAAAAGCATGATGTGAGAGACACATAGAATAAATAAAAGAAAAGTCAAAAAGAAAGAAAACAACTGCCCATGGAAGTGTTTTCTTGGTTTCAGCACCAGGGTGCACAGAAGCCGCTTCACCTGTGGCAGCAGAATACCAGACTACATCTTGGTCTGATAGCACAATTTGGTGAAAAAATTCAAAGGTTGCATGGTTCTAAAACTTTGTACTGAGTTTCCGGAAAGCCACTGAGGCTACACAGTACAGTGCCAGAGTCCCTACAAAGGGGCCCTGAGAGGTCATTGAAAGTAAAATCTAAATTGTTGATGTTAGAGATGCCAGGATCTTGAGAAGCACACCTAGAAAAGCTGCAGGCATAGGATCGGCCAGCCCAAGGGAGGGGTGGGGCTACCCATGGCCATTGAGCTCAGTTCAAGACTGTGAGTCACTGGGACCACAGAGTTTGGTGTTTTCCCTGCTGGGTAGCAGTCTTTGGCCTGGTCTTCACTTCCTATTCCCATTCCTCTCTTTTCTTAACATTTTCTTTGTGATGTTATTTGTTGGGGATATAGGACTTGGGTTTTTATTTTACAACAGCTCACAATTAAGAGATTGCCTTGAGTCTCAGAAGACACTTTCGACTGGGGTGTTTGGAAAATGTTAGAACTGTTCAGATTTGGGGGGAACACCTCCTCTAGATTAACTGAGTGCATTTTGCATCATAAGCTGCTACAACCTTTGAGGACTGGGGATAGAATACTATGGATAAAAATAGCGTGTTTCACTGGATAGTGGTGGTGGTGCACACCTTTAATTCCAGCACTTGGCAGGTAGAGACTAGCAGACCTCTGTGAGTTCGAGGCCAGCCTGGTCTACAAGAGCTAGTGCCAGGACAGGCTCCAAAGCTACAGAGAAACCCTGTCTCGAAAAACTAAAAAAAAAAAAAAAAAAAAAAAAAAAAAAAAAAACACAGACAAAAAAAAAAAAAAAAAAAAAAAAAAAAAAAAAAGAAAATAATAATAATAATTTTTATGTTGACAAAGGGTGGACCTGTGATGGTCAGTCTTTGTTGCTGGTTGGCTGATGTGTGCCTATGACCCCAGCACTTAGGAGACTGAAGCAGGAAGATAACCATGAGTTAAGAGGCCAGCCTTAGTTAAACAGTGAGTTTGAAGTTAACCTGGTCTACATCTAACAAGTTCCAGGCCAGCCTGGACTATATAAGGAGATCTGCTTCAAGGGGTAGGGATAACAGGAACTAAATAGACCTTTTACAACCTCCCATCCCTTTTGAGACAGTATCTTACTCTGTAGCCTAGGCTTATCTCGATCTTTCAGTGATCCTCCTGCCTCAGTCTTCT